AAAAAAAAAAAAAAAAAAAAAAAAAAAAAGCTTAGTCGACTGATGGACCAACCACAACGTTTCTCAGGCCACATGAGAATGAGAGCTGCCTGGATTTTTTCCTCTGGTGGCTCCTGTATCTCAGAAACACTGTGGTTAGTCCGTCAGCCGACTAAGCTAGAATAGATAAAGCTGATCTATTCAGGCAGCCCATGATCTCATGGCCTCAGATAAAGAGGTGCCTCATTCTCCTTTTCCATCTGGGCTGTTGCACCACCACCACTCCAAACAAAAACTGAACCTCCACAAGTTACGCATGTTGCCAGGGTTTGAACCTACATCCATATGTAAACAGTGTCTTTATACCAACTGAGGTACACTGGCTGGTGCGGTGCGAACTTCAGGACAAGCCCTGTTGGCGGTCGTTAAGCAAGCAAGCAGGCCTGTTGTGGCTCATTGCATTGCTCACAATGTCATGGCGCTTCCCACAGCGTCCTGGTGTGCCGCGAGAACCTCCAAAGCTTCCCGGGCCCGCTGTGTCCCTTGTGTGCACGTAGAGTACCTGCAGCACCTGCTGTTGTATTGTGAGATCTTGAGACCGTTTCGGGGATGGTTTCGCTCTGGCTCGGTTCCCATAATTCAGCCCGCTTCGCGATGGGCGGATGGTGCGTTCTCACTACGCTGAGGAGAGCCAGAGGGCTGCAGTGCTTTGGTCGCTATGGTCGCTGAGGAACTCGGCGGTCAGATGCGGCGGGGAGAGACTGACGCCTCTGATGGCAAGAGCAGAGACCAAGTTTGTCATCAAACAGAGAATGGTCCCTCAAAGTGCTTAAACCACTAGTACCTTTGCCGTTTCGTTCCGGCAAGCTTTAGCCTATTCCCAAACTTTTAGGAAGCCAGGCCCGACAACGGCTGCAGCTGTATTTGGATGAAGACGGTACTCCAGGGGGTCCTGCCTGCTTTTTTGTGAGGGAAGCCGGCACCGGTTCCCGGCTTTGTTAAAAAAAAGGGATAACTTCCGAAATACCCCTATAAGTTGAGATATATGCCAAAATGCCCCTAAAAGATCTGTGTAGAGCGGAATACCCCTCTGACACAAAAAATGCTTTGCGAAATGGCCCTGGCATCGGTTGGACCTGTCATCTTTGCAAAATACCCCTACCGGGTACTGTGCATGTTTGCAAAATGTCCCTGTACTTGCCAACTTTTCCCAGGCCCTTTGTATTTTCGTTTTACCCCTACTGGCCCAGCTCATGTTTGCATTTTGCCTCCTCGCTGTGCGTTTGTGCGTGAGAGAGAGAGAGAGAGAGAGAGAGAGAGAGAGAGAGAGAGAGAGAGAGAGAGAGAGAGAGAGAGAGAGAGA